GCCCCCTTTCCCCTCACGGTTCCGCCCTTTCCTCGCCCCCTTTCCCCTCACGGTTCGGCCCTTTCCTTGCCCGCCCCTTTCCCCTCACGGTTCCCCCCCTTTCCTTGCCCCCTTTCCCCTCACGGTTCCCGCCCTTTCCTTGCCCCCTTTCCCCTCACGGTTCCGCCCTTTCCTTGCCCCTTTCCCCTCACGGTTCCCCCCTTTCCTTGCCCCCTTTCCCCTCACGGTTCCGCCCTTTCCTCGCCCCCTTTCCCCTCACGGTTCCGGCCCTTTCCTTGCCCCCTTTCCCCTCACGGTTCCCGCCCTTTCCTTGCCCCCTTTCCCCTCACGGTTCCGCCCTTTCCTCGCCCCCTTTCCCCTCACGGTTCCGCCCTTTCCTCGCCCCCTTTCCCCTCACGGTTCCGGCCCTTTCCTTGCCCCCTTTCCCCTCACGGTTCGGCCTTCGGGAACGGGGCAGGAGGAGGAGGAGGGAGGGAGGAAGAGGCCGAGCAGCAGGAGCAGCAGCAGCAGCAGAAGAGCAGAGGGAGAATCTGGTGGCCCTGGCGCTCCCTGAAGCCGCCGCAGCCCCGGGAGCATCGCCCCCCATCCCGCAGGTGCCCGGGGAGGGGGAGCTCGGCCCAAAGATCCCGGGGGGTCCCTGGCTTTGGGGTTTTTTCGGGGGATGTTTGCAGCTGGCAGGGCTCCCAAGCCCAGCCGCAGATGGCCCTCGGGGGGACATCGGGGGGTCCCCGGGAGGTGTTTTTGGGGGTCCCAGAGCCGGCAGTGGTTTCTCCCAGTATGAGCCCTGTCACTCCCAGTGGTTCCCTATGATGACGCAACTTGCTGCCAGGAAGATCCCAGTTGCTCCCAGTTTGATCCAGTGTGTTCCCAGTTCTCCCAGCTACCCCTAGCATAGTCCTACTCACTCCCAGTGTGGTTCCGCCCTTGGCCTGAGAGGGGCAATTGTGGGAATCCATGGGATTCGAGGATTTTAGGACAGTTGGGAAAAAGAAAGGCCTCAGAGACAGTAAGGATAGTGAAATGCTAAAGCAGCAGAAAAGATATATTGGCAGTAGTGAAGACATGAGAACTAGAACAATAAAGCTGTGTAGTTTGACTTTCTAACTTGCAAAAAGTCTATTTTATTGAATATTTAGAAGGTTAAATATCAATGGGGCTCTGTGCTTTGTTGCTTAGAAATGAGCCATCGTATGAGAGAAAAAGCTGCTACTGTTTTAACCAAAGCTCCATGTGGCTGGACAGAACTACTGTCAATATGCTTTTGCTCGATGTAATTGGCTGAAACTGGGCCTGAGACTGTCTTAGAGTGTGTTGAGACATGAAGTTTCCTGGGGCTGCTGTGTGGACAGCGAGCTGCTGGCATGGATGCATTGCCAGAGCCCTGCACTGGGGCTGATGCTGCTGAAATGAACAGCTCACGGCGCTGTTCAGGCGTGGCCCCGTTCCGCTCGTGTCTGTGTATAAACGGCCACGCCAAGCGCTGCCCCTCTGTGAGCAGAACGTGAGACTAGGATAGAAAAGGAAATCTTGGAAAAACTCGGGCAGCGGAGGCCCAGGTTGTTAAACAGGAGGAATGTATCATCCCCTCTTTGTCTGCATCTAATGTCTTTGTAAGTAAACTTTTTCTGGGGGCTTCCTGGGTGACGAAAATGGGAAATCATTTATCTAAAACAGAATGGGACGTTTTTTACCGGCTTGAGAAAATATTACAGGATAAAGGACGTTCAGATATCTCAAAAAATAAACTGAAAATCTTAATAGTCTGGGTAAAAGCAAACACTCAAAATATAGACTTGCAGTCTGCTTTTACCTTTGTTTTTTGGGATCAAATGAGCTAGAAAAATCTATAATCTGTTCTCTCTCCAAAAGGACGAGACAGGGAGCAGACTCGTGCCTGTTTCCCGGGCTTTGTTAGAGTGTTTTAAACAAACTGACTGTAACACAGACATTTCCAAACAACAGAACAAAGTACCTTGCTCAGACCCTTGAAATCCAAGCAATGCCTCCCGAGTCACCGTCCTTTTCCGTGGCAGTGTCGGGCTCCCCTGAGAGTTCCTTCCCTTCCGCAGCGCCCGGTGCTTTTCTCGGGAACGATTCCGGTGTCGGCTCCTCCGGAGGCTGCGAACCGGAGCAGCTTCCAGCTGGGGCCGCGTCCCCGCTTTCTGCCGGCCCTCTCAGCGTCTCTGCAGTTGAGAGCAGTCCTTCGCCGCTCCCTCTGGGAAGAAAGGAACTCTTGCCGTGTCGGGAAATATGTTCGGAATTTTCCTTGCGTTCCGGGAATGAGACCGAGCGCGAGTTCTGTTCGGGGGCGGGGGGTGCGAGCCGCGCGAAGGCGGGAGATGAGAATTGACAGAGGTCTTGTGATAAAGGAATTACGTGTTCTGAAAGTGAACAAGCAGGGATGGCCGAGACGGGCTCGGGGTCTGCTTGGCCTGCTCGGGGGCTGTGGGGGTCACTCCTGCCACTGAAGTTCCCCCCATTATCCCAATTCCCCCTGGAATCCCAGTTCCCCATTACCCCACTCTTCCCATTAACCCAGTTCCCCCAGTTCCCCCCATTACCCCACTCCCAGTTATCCCAGTTGCCCATGATGCCTGAGAGGCTGGGATGCTACGGACTGGGATAAACTGGACTGGGATCCCATGGACTGGGATAACCCAGACTGGGATAACCCAGACTGGGATAACCCGGACTGGGATTATATGGAACTGGGATAAACTGGACTGGGATCCTATGGAACTGGGATCCTATGGAACTGGGATCCTGTGGACTGGGTTAAACTGGACTGGGACAACCCGGACTGGGATGCTATGGACTGGGATAAACTGGACTGGGATAACATAGACTGGGATCCTATGGACTGGGATCCTATGGAACTGGGATCCTATGCACTGGGATAAACTGGACTGGGATCCTATGGAACTGGGATAAACTGGACTGGGATAAACTGGACTGGGATCCTATGGAACTGGGATCCTATGCACTGGGATAAACTGGACTGGGATAAACTGGACTGGGATCCTATGGAACTGGGATCCTACGGAACTGGGATAAACTGGACATGGATCCTATGGAACTGGGATAAACTGGACTGGGATCTTATGCAACTGGGATAAACTGGACATGGATCCTATGGAACTGGGATAAACTGCACTGGGATTATATGCAACTGGGATAAACTGGACTGGGATAACCCTGACTGGGATGCGATGGACTGGGATCCTATGGACTGGGATAACCCGGACTGGGATGCGATGGACTGGGATCCTATGGACTGGGATAACCCGGACTGGGATGCGATACTGGGATCCTGTGGACTGGGTTAAACTGGACTGGGACAACCCGGACTGGGATGCTATGGACTGGGATAAACTGGACTGGGATAACATAGACTGGGATCCTATGGACTGGGATCCTATGGAACTGGGATCCTATGGACTGGGATAAAATATGGGACTGTATGGACTGGGACGCTGTGGATTGGGATCCTATAGAGTGGGACCACACAGACTGGGATGAACTGGTCTCAGTTTATATGGATTAGGATCCAAGACACCGGGATCACATGGACCGAGACTGGACAAACTGGGATGGAATGGAAGAGGCGGGAAAGAGGAGGGCGAGAAGGGCTGGGAAAATAGCAAGGAGGCGGGGACAGGGAGGAGAAGGAGGAGGGATGGAAGGGGAGGGGAGAAGGAGGAGGAGGGGTGGAAGAGGAGAAGGAGGTGGGGTGAGGGAGAAGGAGGAGGCGGGGGGATGGCGGAGGAGGAGCGGGAGGAAGAGGAGGAGGAGGGCCAAAGGCGGGTCCAGGCTGAGCAGGAGGAAGCACGCGGCCGAGCCCTCCGTGCATTCGCAGCCCCCACCTGTGGGATCATCGCCCCCCATGGCGCAGGTGAGCGGGGAGGGGGAGCTCGGCCCAGATATCCCGGGGGTCCCTGGGCTGGGGTGGGTTTTTTGGGGGGATGTTTGGAGAATGAAGAAGTGCGAGGCTGAGCGGAAAAGGCCCCTCGGGGGGACATCGGGGGGTGGCGGTGGCGGCTGGCGGCAGAGGCAGCCTGGAGGAGCAGAGCCCTGTGTCCCCCAGGAGCCCAAAGTGGGGAGCCCAGAGAGGGGGGAGCGCCGCCATGGGCGGGAGCCTGCAGAGGCTGGAGAGGGGCAGGGGGGACTCCTTGGAGCCCCTGCAGCCCGGAGCAGAGCATGAGGGGAGAAGGGAGCCCAAAAGGGAGCCCAAAAAGCCCCGGCACCCCTGAATGGGCAGAGCGAAGAGGGGGCAGCTTTTGGCATTGCTGGCACTGCCAGCAGCCTGGGGAGGGCGGGCACCGAGGACAAGGGGGACCCCAATGCCAGCGTGACCCCAGCAGCTGGGACAGGGGGAACCCCAACAGCAGAGGGGAGGGAGCAGGGACGGGGAATTCCTGGGAGGCTTTTTAGGGCTGAATATCCACACTGGGGAGAGGCCCTACGAGTGTGGGGAGTGTGGGAAGAGCTTCAGACAGAGCTCCTGTCTGATCAAGCACCAGAGGATCCACACTGGGGAGAGGCCCTACGAGTGTGGGGAGTGTGGGAAGAGCTTCAGACATAGCTCCAGTCTGATCAAGCACCAGAGGATCCACACTGGGGAGAGGCCCTACGAGTGTGATAAATGCAGGAAGAGGTTTCAGACCAGCTCCAGTCTCCTCGTGCACTATCAGACTCACACAGAGGAGAGGCCCTTCAGGTGCCTCGACTGCGGGAAGGGATTCAAGCGCAACTCCCACCTCGTCAGGCACCGCCGCATGCACACTGGGGAGAGGCCCTACGAGTGTGATAAATGCAGGAAGAGGTTTCAGACCAGCTCCCATCTCCTCCGGCACTATCGCATTCACACAGAGGAGAGGCCCTTCAGGTGCCCCGACTGCGGGAAGGGATTCAGGTACAACTCCAACCTCGTCACCCACCAGCGCATCCACACTGGGGAGAGGCCCTACGAGTGTGGGGAGTGTGGGAAGAGCTTCTCCCGCAGCTCTCACTTGATCCGACACCAACGGAGGCACCGGTGAGGGAAGCCCTGCGAGTGCCCCGAGTGCGGGAAGAGCTTTGTGCGCTGCTCCAGCTCCATCCCCCACTGCAGGACCCACGCTGGGCACAGCCCTGCTGACCCACATTCCCTGTGATCCATGATGGGAGCACACCTGGCTGCTCCACTTTTTAGTTTGGCCTTAATGTTTTTTTCTCTTCTCAAACTCTATGTAGTCCAAAGCCAGGAGGTATCGACCAGTTGCTTCAGAACACCTCAGTCCCACTGAAAACAAGGGAATTGTTGAACAAAGGCTCAACGCCACCTGAGATTGCTTGTTCCGAGCTCAAAAAGTCTAAATCCAACTCCAAAGGGTGTCGACTCCACAGCAGAGAGGGCGAGATGGGGTTCAAAGCAGATTGGCAGAGGTGGGATCCCAATTTGGAGCGGTGGGATGGGGATTGCGTGGGGCTAGGGTTGTGAGATGTATTTGATAGCAAATAAAACTCTCAGACTTACTGCTTTCTCTCCCGTCCATGCTCAGTCCCGTGCAGTTGTGTTTGCAGAGTGCCGCCTCCCAGAGTGTCCCCTCACAGTTGCCGCCCTTGGCCTGAGCCCGCCCCTTTCCCCTCACGGTTCCGCCCTTTCCTTGCCCCCTTTCCCCTCACGGTTCCGCCCTTTCCTTGCCCCCTTTCCCCTCACGGTTCCGCCCTTTTTTCGCCCCCTTTCCCCTCACGGTTCCGCCCTTTCCTTGCCCCCTTTCCCCTCACGGTTCCGCCCTTTCCTCGCCCCCTTTCCCCTCACGGTTCCCGCCCTTTCCTTGCCCCCTTTCCCCTCACGGTTCCGCTCTTTCCTTGCCCCCTTTCCCCTCACGGTTCCGCCCTTTCCTCGCCCCCTTTTCCCCCTCCCAGTTCCTCTCATTATGTCCCCACTTGGCCCCAGCATGGGCCTGGCAGCTCCCAGTAAGCCCCAGTCAGGGTCCAATCACACCCACTGTAATCCCAGTATGGTTGGAGCCACTCCCAGTATGATCCCAGTCACCTGCACTCTAATCCCAGTTGCTGCCAGACACTCCCAGTGCCCCCAGTGTGATCCCAGGTGCTCCCTGTCCATGCCAGCATGACCCCAGTAGCCTCCAGTATGATCCCAGGGACTCCCTGCCTCTCCCAGTTTATCCCAGTTGCTTCCAGCTTGTTCCCAGTCACTCCCACTTCTTCCCAGTTGCTTTCAGCACCATTCCAGTTGCTCCCAGTCAATCCCAGCCTGTTTCCAGTCACCCTCAGAGTGATCCCAGTCGCTCCCAGCACGGGTCCAGCTGTTCCCAGTGTGCTTCCATCACTCCACTATGGTTACACACACTCCCAGTATGGTCCCAGTTGAACCCAGTTGCCCATGCTCCAGTCCCAGCCACTCCCCAGATGATCCCAGTCCCTCCCAGCAGGATCCCACTCACTCCCAGTTGCCCCCAGTGTGGTCCCAGTTCTCCCCAGCACAGGCCCTGTTGTTCCCAGTGTGGCTCCAGTCCCCCCAGTATGGACACAAACACTCCCAGTATATCCCAGTTGCTCCCAGCATGTCTGTAGTCAGGCACTGCCAGTGGCCCCAGGAAGGTGTCAGTTATCCCAGCATGATCCCCCAGTCCTGCCCAGTATATCCCAGTTGCCTCCAGCATGCATCCACTCCTTCCCAGTTCCTCCAGTTTGCTTGCAGCAGCAAACTGGCCCCAGTTTCTCCCGGGGGCTCCCAGCAGCCAAAGTGTGATCCCAGTCGCTCCCTTTCAACCCCAGCACGATCCCAGTAAGCCCCAGTTGGACCCATGTCACATGCCAGCCCTCCCAGTGTGGTCCCAGTATAATGCCAGTTGCTTCCCAGATTCAGTTTAGAGGCAACGAGTACAGTACAGAATAACAAAGTCATTATTTAGCCTTCTGATGCTGGAGTCAGATGCATCATTCTCTCCCCTCCATCGGGGCTCGCCCGTGCATCGATAGGTGCCCCCGTGTGCTTCCAGTTTCCTCAGCACTCCCAGTATGAGCCCAGTTGGTGCCCCCGTGTGCTTCCAGTTTCCTCAGCACTCCCAGTATGAGCCCAGTTGGTGCCCCCGTGTGCTTCCAGTTTCCTCAGCACTCCCAGTATGAGCCCAGTTGGTGCCCCCGTGTGCTTCCAGTTTCCTCAGCACTCCCAGTATGAGACCACTCACTCCCAGTAAGAGCCTGGTCACTTCCCCTCACTCTCTGCCGGATCCCACTTGCTCCCAGTATCAGCCCAGTTGCTCCCAGTATAATCCTGGTCACTTCCCCTCAGTGCCTGGATGATCCCAGTTGCTCCCAGTGAGAAAAGGGTCATTTCCCCTCACTCTCTGCAGGATCCCAGTTGCTTCCAGTATGAGCCCAGTCACTCCCAGTCGTTCCCTATGATGATGCAATTTGCCCCCAGCACGGTGGCAGTTGCTGCCAGTTCCTCCCACTTTGAGCCAGTGTGTTCCCAGTTCTCCCAGTTGCCCCTAGCATACTCCTCCTCATTACCAGTGTGGTCCCAGTTTAATCCCACTTGCTTCCAGTCTCTCCCAGTATGGTCCCAGCTGCCTCCAGCACGGTTCCAGTTGCGTCCTAGATCAGTCCAGTCAGTCCCAGTATGATGCCACTTGCTCCCAGTCAGGCCCAGTATGGGGGAGGATGTGCAGGGTCTGTTCCCAGTCACTCCCAGATACTCCCAGGCTCAGTCCAGTCACTGCCAGGAGGATCCAAATATGGCCCCCGTTGCTCCCAGTTGCTGCCAGAATAACCCAGTTTTTCTCTGCATGGTTCCAGTTGCTCTCTTTCAGCCTCACCTTCATTCCAGTCACTCCCAGTAGGATCCAAATATGGCCCCAGTGCACTCCCAGTCGCTGCCAGTATGAACCAGTTGTGCTCCACACGGTTCCAGTTGCTCTCTTTCAGCCTCACCGTCAGTCCAGTCACTCCCAGTAGGATCCAAATATGGTCCCAGTTGCTCCCAGTTGCTGCCAGAATAAACCAGTTTTTCTCTGCATGGTTCCAGTTGCTCTCTTTCAGCCTCACCTTCATTCCAGTCACTCCCAATATCTCCCAGTGTAGCCCAGTTCCCTCCAGCCCCTCCCCAGTTCCTTCCAGCATGATCCCATTTGCTGCCAACCACTCCAGGTCAGCCTCAGTGATTCGCACTCACGGCCAGTACGATCCCAGTCACCTCCAGCACGATCCCAGTAGAAGCCCCGATGTTTCCAATCCCCCCCAGCATGCAGCCAGTCACTCCCAGTACCTCCCAGTTGCTCCTAGCATGATCCCAGTGGCTTACAGTAGCTCCCAGTTGCGCTCATCATCATCCCAGTCACTCCCAGTAGATCCCATTTGCCCCTAACATGGTCTGAACTGCCCCCAGCAGGCTCCTACTCAGTCCCAGCATGACCCCAGCCTCCATCAGTGGGATCCCAGTCTGCCCTGGCATGGCAATAAGATCCCAGTATGAAATCAGAGCAAACCCAGTACAGCCCCAGCATGGTCCCAGTATGATCCCAGTACAAACCCAGTACAGCCCCAGCATGATCCCAGTACAAACCCAGTACAACCCTAGCATGACCCCAGTATGATGCCATTCTGGCAGTATAAACCCGGTACAGTCCCAGCATGGCACCACTTTGATCCCAGCATGGCAGTACAAACCCAGTACAGCCCCAGTCAGTCCCAGA